CGATAAGGTGTCATTCAAGTCTTCCTGTTTCCTTGATTGAAATGTGATGTTCACGAAAGTCGCCTCGATGGATAAGATAGAATTAATATACATGGCTGTGGTATTTGTTTTTTGCTGAGTTCCGTAGTTTTTTTTAAATTGTCCTCCAAAGTTGTCTCAAATTAAAGTCTTGAAAAGTGTCACGACAGGCCTTCGCTCGAGTGAAATTTCATTTCCGTAAAACTTTGAAAAATAAAGAGATCCGATCAAACGGATTGTGGTTTTAGTATAGGCACATGAATGTCTTACAACCCACAAGAAATGAGGGAAATCTGTGTCTCAAGCAAAATTGACCGGACCGCTTTTACAGAGACGCACTCTTAAAGAGCTGACGTTTCGAGCGTTAGCCCTTCGTCAGAGCGAACATAATAGATATAATATACGGCCGTGCATCTACAACTTGAAGTGTTCAGTTTCACCTCAGCCGCAAGTTCCCGTGTAGTTTCGCCTTAAGGTTTCAAAACTTTTAAGGTTGTTCTTACGTTCCATCTTGTTTGAGATAGATTTTTTGGAGCTCAGAATGAAATCTAAATAGTTTCCGTTTCGAAAAACAATGAGGCAGTATTACTTTCAAGCGACGAAATTAGCTTTGCAGGTAACGATACTTTATTTCCATACGCATGCAAATTTTTTCTTTAAAAAGAAAATTAACATCAATTTTTACTGTTTATATGTCTCGAATGTGTTGCTGAAGGGAAGATTTGTTTTAAAATCGTTCAATTCTCAACGCCGGCGAAACTACGCTGTTTTCTGGTCGTAAATTCTGGTATATTTCGACGCAAAGCTATGTAATTTTATAGCCAAGCATTCATTTTTAGTACACCGTAAACCTACAACGCGGGTCTCGTACATGCAAAAAATGAGTTCTTTTTTCACTACCAAGCAACAAATTTACCATTCTTTGAATAACCTTTGGTCTCTAAGTAGTTCTTGGTCGTTTTTGCCATGTCTTTTATCCGTAGTTTTCGGATAGAACGGGATTACCTGTAAAACGAGACACAATGATGATAAAACTCTTTCTTCGAGCACAAGTTGTATCTCCATGCTACAAAAAAATCTGGAGAGCACTAAGGAAGCTAGGGTTGCTCTCGCCTGCGCCACGAGCAATTCTCACTCTTATCTCGCGCACCTTAACATTCCCGCGTGCATCCATAATCCGATATACGCACGCTGAACATGGACCAAAATGGTTAATAGTAGCCCTTACTGCAGGTTTGTTTACAAACAAACTTTACCCCGACATTTACTCTTAAGATAAACTCTTTTTGCGGGCTTTTTATGGTGAATGTTACACAAGCTAGGTCCGAATTTTCTATTATAAAATTTATTTCGCGCACACGATTGCTTATTTATAGATCCAAGCTCATGTCATAAATTTTCTTGATAGAGCTTTCTATGCAATTCTCCACTGAGCGCCTTAGTCTTGCATCTAATGCGATCGAAATTTTCTGCGAAATCGATTGATCGATCAAATTTCTTGCAAAGTAAAATCCTTCAAATCTTTTGCGAATTCTTGCGAATTCTTGCGTAGCAAGAGGAAGTTGACCGTTGAGAAGTGTTGATAAGCCTGTGCGACTCCTGCCCTTCGCTAGCGCTTCTAAAATCTTCTGCCCTTAAAGTTGTGGTCTTATTAGGATATCTTGTAAAAATTTTCCTCTGCGATGTGATAATAAGGGTAAGTTTTAAGATATCATTTCCCCATCGATCTGTATGCTCTTGAGCTTTGGCAAAGCCAGGTGAGATTGTGTTTCAAAAGGCAAAATATTTCCTTCTATGCGCGCGATATTTTCTTTGTTTATAAGTATGCTTTCTCTCCGGCAAAAAATAACTGTAGAGGTACGTTTCTCAAAACCTCCATCTAGGTACCCCTTATTAATTACGACTCTCCCCCACCCCCCTCCCCCCAAAAAAAAGAACAAGATAAAGAAAACAAAATTCCAATTCATCTTGGTATCTTGTCAATGACTTAACTAAATCTGCAATCCCGAGTGCTCGCACAGAATATCATTTATCTCATTTGAGGTGAAAAGGGTGGTCGTGAATCTTACTTTTGAAAACGCCCTACGATTTGCCACTACTTTAAAAAATAAGGTTAATGTAAGTCTTGAAACGCGCATTCAGCAAAATGTGCCGCAGCATTACTATCTTTAAGATACCCCAGTACTGACAGGAAAAAAACAGTGAGAATGTAGCTCTTTCAAGCGACCAAATTAACTATGGAGGTAACGATGCTTCTTCATTCCCAACCACGATACAAATTATGGCTGGAGAAGAACAAAATAATATTTCTGAATTTGAGTGAGGCTTCGTGACGCAGGGAATATTCTTTAGAACAATAGAGACAAAAAAATACCATTGGTTTCTTGAAATACGTTACAACAAAAGAGTTTGTTTTGATTCTAGACCGTGAAAACAGAGGGACGCAGCGGCAGAGGGAAGGAAAGTTTAAAGGTAAGATCGAAGACTCTGTCTTCAGTGGAAGAGAAAAAGTGCCATCCGTTGTTTGTGGAACAAGATATCCTCGATCTGCGCGAAATATGATTTCCCTTACCTACTACCAAAGATAGTTTAATCAAGCTAATAAGCCTCCCTCTGGAATGCCTCCGTCGTTCCCCCTCCTCCCCCACCTCCCCCACTTCCCCACCTCCCCACCTCCCTCTCAGGCTTACTAAGTGGACTTTATTTTAGTATGTCTTGTTCTTTCCAGGACACCAGAGGCATATAATTGAGATATCTGGTAACCCGCCCGCTGTGTATGTAGAGACGCCAAGCACTTGGCTTGCCTCACTAGTTGTTTTGGCGTTAACGGTGGTAGCTATTGTACCAATCTGTACAAGTAGTTGGTGTTGGTCAATGTTGTCAATGATTTACGATGCAGTTTGGACGAAATTAGCCGCCAATTAATTGTTAACATACAATTTAGATTTAGATGGCGTTCTTTATTTGTTAGTAAAAAATCATTTCTGATCTTTGAATAGTTGAGTTGTGTTGTTTTAACTCGTATTTCTCGCGAAGGATGTAAAAAACCACACTGAACAGACTAGTATACTTTCCAACCGACGATTTAGATAAAAATGACGTTCTGTATATCAACATGACTTGCTGTCTTTAGATAGTATTGTTAAGTTGTGTTAAATTGTATCTTTCATGAAGCACTGCAAAAGCGAAATGTATCAGTTGGCATGAACATTTGTCTGTTTTTGTATTAAGCTCCCCCTTCTCCCACACCCCTTCGCAATCTCACGGCAGTTAGGTGTGGAATCCTAAGTCCTCTAATCTGATTGGCTAATTCCTTGCGCTCCAGCAGACCGGATTTTTTCATTCAGACCCCGGGTCCGCGGACCGCTCCGAGTGTTTCAGTTTGTTCTTTTGTATCGTTTCATGAGAGAGAGGCTTAAAGAAGTAAACATTGTAATAAGTGACTCAGTTATGGATGGATTCAGGCAATGAAATCTATCAAAGCGAAAACAAAGTTTATTATCCTGAAGAGGAAAACATACTTCAAGATAAAGAAAACTATGGAAAGAAAAACAGCACTACCAAATAAAACTGTTTGTTAAAAGGTGAGTTCACAATTACATTAACAAATATTAAACTTTCATTTATTTAATTTGAAATGTCCAAAACAAATGTCCAAAACAACTTTTTCGTTGTAAAACAGTGAACAGTTATACTGCAGTGAGTATTTCTACTGCGTATAGATACACTCTCGCTAAGTCTTTGCAAGTCCCCTGAATTTCGACATTTCTACCGAAATTGCACAGCAGAAACCGAAGAAATTCAACGAGTAAAAGCCACATCAGTTTAATTCTCTTGTGTCTACATGGAAAAAGTGTATCATAACTTTGTTTTTAGTTTTTTCGGTGGAAGAAAGGCGAGATTTACTCACACCATCGCAGAAAACACTCTAGGGGCCGGTTATTTCAACGAGATCTAACCCAAACCAAGGTTTAACCCAATTAGTAGACCTCAGGGGATCCTTATATGAGGGTCGATTAATTAAATAAAAGTCCCTCCACCATTAGCTTTCGGCCCTCTTGATGCTGTTGAGAAAAATAAGTGTCTAGATCAGAGATTCCGCTAAATTGACGGTTGTTTAGGACGCGGTTTTGTTAAACAGCTAAAATTTGTTTGACTGAACCGGCCCGATGGGTTTAGGACACAAAGAATTATGGAGGAAATACAAACCCTTTACTCAAGAACAAAAATTGGGGTCAATCGATGCGGCTATTACTGACATTAATGTTCCCACACATTCATGCAAATAGGAAATCGTATAGATTGATTATGTCAGGGACGGCCACTGTACTGACAGTAGTTTTGCTGAACTTGGATACGTTTTTGTAATTATCTTTTAGATTGTTCAGGTGAATGTACAGAAGTACAAACTTGAAAGTGGACTCAGACGTCTCAAATTCCTCAGCAAACTGTCATCAATATGTTCAAACAAATGCGTTTCCCTCTAAGTTTTCCCAAGTCACTGTCTTTATCAATCATCTTCAGGATTAGTCTCTCTGGACGATCGTGTCGCATATTAAAAAAATCAAATGTTTCTCTCACATCCAATAATCAATCTAAAAACCAATCAGACTTCTAGAGTTTGTAATTTCAGAACTGTGATTGACAAATGAACAGGACTTAAAACCTTCGCTTTCTTCCATTCAAGCCTTTTTTCATACATTCTCATTCTCTTAAGAAGAGCTAAAGATGAATGCATAAGCTTCGGCCAATAAGGCAGAGGTGGGGCATGCTTGGCATTGTTTTCCGATGTGTTAAGTCGACCTTATGGCGGGGCTGGAGAAAGCAAACAGCCAAATCCTAGCGAATGCATCGCAATTTCGAAGGTTAGGTTGAAATTGATAACGTTTTAATGTACGTTACTATTATGATTATTTTTTATCATCTTTTAGCTCTTATATTTCAAAACGTAGCGAGATCTTTTTTTTCTTACATCAGCAGGTTTGCTTCTGCTTCTTTTTTTTTTTATCGAAACTGTTTTTTTTTTAATCGAAAGGGTTATTTTAGCGTTTCCAAAACGAAAAAGGACGGAAAAGAAAGAGCAGAAAAAAGAGAATCAGTGTTAACACTAAATACTGTTTGTCTTACTATAAAGCTTCATATACTTCTTAACTGTACAAAAAGAGAAAGCATCATATCAAAGTATTAAAACTGATAGACGAGTTTAAAATATGTTTATTTGCAAGAACATAATAATTTCAAATAAATCTTAAAAAAGCAGCTTGCTTTTCTGGTCTTCTTCTCCTTTCTGTCATCCGTCTCTTTTCCATGTTTTTTGCTCATATTCATCCTCACTTTATACTATTCCCGTGTGATTTTCAAGCAGTTCTTGCAACGATAATGAAAAATATGTAAAGCAAAAATTGAATCAATTAGAGTACCTAAAAATGAACCTTTCATGTTCAAGATTTTAGCTGTCTGCTATACATCTCCTGTGGTGTTAATTTTAAGAATTTGGTGTTGAATTTGAAAATTATCTCCTAATTGATATTTTCTATATTCCCATCCCTTGTCTGTTTGATATTGTTTTGATAATGAAAGAAGAAATTATTGGTCATTCCTGGGAGTAAAAGAGTTAAGTGAGAATAATTGTTTTATTAAAAACGCCCCCAAGATATTAGACAAATCTTACTAAATCTTAAATTTTTTTAGATATATCAACAAAGTTGAAATGGTAAATTAGCCACCGTAATGATTACAAAAGCTGACGTTTCGAGCGTTAGCCCTTCGTCGGAGCGAATTAAATTTTTTTAGCTCCCTTTTAATTTTAACCTGACGCGTACGCTTACCATATTTGTAGATTATGGTATATTGGCTCATATACCATAATGGCTAAGCCAATAAAAAGGTCTTGAATTGCATTATCCAATGATCCAGTTTTTAATAATACGTAATATACTTTCAAGGTGTGAGGTTCCTTTCATGGCCTTTCAGATATTAAGACTACAACACCTATACTTATATCGAACCATGTCCTCTTCGTAATTGCTAGCCAGGGTCAGAACAAAACTCTGCAGAAATTCTTCGGGGTTACATCGGACCCACTGCCGGTCCAAGCTTCCGATGGGTGCATTGGCCTTCGGCGCCCATCCTGTCATCTGTGTTGAGCAGTGATAGCCAATTTCGTCAAATCTGTCAAGCACTTCCGTTGTCTTGCCTCGAAGGTTAATGTATTGGTTGCTTATGTCCTAATTGATAGTAAGAAAGATATTGTTTAGTTACTTAGTCAGTTAATCAATCAGTCCATCAGTTAGGTAAGTAGTTATTGAATCAGTCAAACTGACAGTCAATCTATGGGATAGTTATTCAATTAGGCAGGCTGTCAATCAGTCAAACAGCCAATCAGTCCATTGCTCTGTTAGTCAGACAGCTGGCCAGTTAGTCAGTCAGCCAGTCAGTCTGTCCGTCAATCACTAAATTAGTCGACCACAGAGTAATCCGGTAAGTTTGTTGGCTCTAGCAAATTTTTGAACTTTTGAAATAGCACAATCATAAATGTTTATGTAATTCGGTCAGAGAGCGAGCCAGCTAGTGAGTCAGTTTGTCGGTCAATCGGTTAATCAGTCAGTCAGCCAGTCAGCCAGCCATTCAATAAGTCAGAACGTCACTTTCCAGTGAATCCGTTTGTATGTCGGTCAGACCGCCAGTTAGTCCTCAGTCAATGATTTATTGTTTAGTTGCCTACTCTTAACAGACACCTTACTTCGTTCATTTGCGATTAACTAAGAAGGAACGCTAATTATGGCAGCTATTCACCCACTTCTCTTCAATCCCCACATTTGGCCTTGCGCCAATGTAAAGTTTGAACTTCTTACCGTAACTTCAGCTTCCAGCTGACTAAGTCTATTCCGGTATCGCTCGATTAGCAAGTCCTTCGTGTTAGTCTCGTCTTTAAGCGCAACCATCTTGCTGTCCAGTAAAGTCTGTAAACTTTGGATTTGAACTCGATCAGCTTTGGAGTCCACCTTGACTGTCAGTTGGTCAATTTCGGCTCTCTGTCGTCGTATTGTCTTTTCATAGGAGGTTATTTGTCGCTCCATGTCGGAGAGTTTGACGGAGAATGACATCAAAGCTGCTAGGGCGGAACTTTGTGGTGTCTGTCGCTAGAAAAAAAAATTATAATAATAATAGTAATAATAAAAAATAAAGACACAAAACAAAAATAGGAGAGAGAAAGGAAAGGATGATTAGTCAAGGTTTAGTCCTCTCGGCCATATTTTTCAAGCTTGTCGTCAGCGTTTATCTTGGCCACTTTTAACCATCACTGCTCCTTACCATGACTTTGGTTTTCATCTCGCCGCAAACGCTGATCATTTTAAAAGTTAAAAATTGATATGTACGTATTCTAAAGACTGAATACTAGAGCGTTCTTCTTAGTAATGAACACTACCGAAGCAGTAGTGAAAATAAGGCCTGAAAAAAATTCAACCCCGTACAGAATTTGAATCTATGACATCTATGACAACGGTGCAGTGCTCTACCAACTGAGCTAACAAGCCAATTGGGAACTGAATTTGTTCAGGCGTTATTTTCACTTCTGCTTAAGTAGTGTTCATTACTGCGAAGATCGCTTTAAAATTCAATACGAAGCCCGCAGTTCGCATAAATGATTTTCATAGATTCACAGTCATAGTCAGTCTCACTCTGCTTAAAAGGTACGGTCAGTCAGCCGATCCAAACCTCTCTGGTTTTTTTTGTAATCCAACTCCTCCCCTTCCATCACGCCGTATACCACTACGCTTAGTTTTTTTTTTTTTTTAACTGAACGCCTAGGACAGGCTAACCCAACAGGGGAGGAGAAGGGAATTGACGATAGCCACAGATAATTGCTAGAATTCCACGTATTTACATGAAAGTTAATTCCTAAAACCGTTTGATGCCTCTCTACAGAACTTCAATCTATGTCAAAACCATGAAAACATCATTCCAATTTTTCTGAAAAGCTAGTGAACGGTTTTTCTCCGTATAAGAATCGTGCTGCTGAACTAATGGCGTCTTTTCTGCAAATATCTAAATTTACCTTCGGTCGTAGCTTTCCTCTCGGCATTCCAAATGAGGATTTAAAGACAATCCACGATAAGAAACACAGCAACAAGGCTGTGGAGTTCTTCATTATTACGACTCAAGTCTTCAATCTCTCACAACAACAACAACAATGGTGTTTTGTTCGCGCGGTGTCGACAATGGCGGAGGAAATGTTATCCGTGACACTGACCCAGGTGATGACAAAAGAGCGTTGAGATAGTCAGCCTGTATTTATAGGAATGGTGGAATGAACATTCGGCATCATAAGACTCAGACGATATCAGCGCGGAGAGATCACGGTCTTCTTATCGCTATGCGAAACGTCGGTAAGGGTGAATTAGGCCGATAGCGTGTTCGTTTTGTAAATTGCGTTTGTCGCGAAATCCGATGAGACTGGGCGTGTAGTAGTGAAAATACTAAGTTGATATTTGTTACAGATGACGGACATGGCTGTAAACACGGTGAGATGATCGGCAAGTGTTATGGATCTGCATGACCCTGTTTTACCAAAATGATCAATTTGCTAGTCGTCTATTTAGAATTTTTAGCCCGAGATTTAATAATTCTTGCCAGTCATAACATGATTAATAATACGGTACATTAGCTCTCCAATGTATTTGTGAAATAACAACCCGCTAACAAAGACAAATTGCAATAGAATTGTAAGTCTTGCATCTATAGAAGACCACATTTCAAGGATCTTTGTCCACCTGGGATCCTGCCTTCTCGTGCGTTCGTTAAGTTGCCCCCACCAGAAGACGATCCCGAGTCCTTACCAAGAGTGTCGATTTCTAATTGTCTCTTCTGTAAGATCAAGTTTCAAGAAAACAAATCGGTCTTTGTCTGTCGGTTGTGTTTTCGAAGATGGCGCTGTCTCTTACAGTCATCCTCGCAATGCTTTCTTTCCAGTTTCATTTTGTGTTCACCGACGGGTATGAGAAACCTGTGGAAAGAAATCGATGGAAGGTAAGTTTAAGCACCCTAAGTACCTTCTACGGATTTGATGGAGACATCTCTGTTTATGATATCGACTAGTCGTGCGTAATTTCAAAGCTCGGTCGCACTGGATTAAAATATCACTAAACGATTGTGTCATTCACCAGAGATGAACGTTTGCTGTACAGACTAGTAGTAAATGAAAAGGAACGACGAGAATCTAGGAAACGCATACTTTTCCTTAAGGATCGAGATACTTGTTTCTAGGATACCAAACAACTATCTGAAGAAAATCGTGGGTAACACAAGGATTTGACGTTGGGGGGGGGGGGGGTTCGCTTAATCGAGCCGTGCCTGATTACCTCATTTCAGTTGTACATCACGAGGGAGTGGGGCTCTTTGCTGTCTATTGATTCGAGATTCGGGAAGGCGATTTAGTAGGCTGAACCTGTCGATGTCCCGAGAAAGGACTCATAATGAAGAAGGAGACTTGTGCATTCCCTTCTCCTCTGTCTTCACCCAACCCCCCTCTTTATTTGTAGAGGAGAAAGAAAGGCTAGAAGATAAGAGAGGGAAAGATTTCACTAGATTTCACTGTCTATGAAAAAAGAAAAAAAAAAAAAAACAGTTGAAGATGCCCCCCCTCCCCCTGCTTGCAAATTATTGCCTTCGTATGATGATCTCTGCACCCTGATTCCAGAGAGCCCTCAGCGATGATGATATCATACTTGGTCTTAAAATGTACGAAAGGAAAATGGCCGGTTTGCAGAGAAAAATCCAACAGCAACTGGCGATTATGAAGAAACAAAAACGTCAGATCGACTTGATCAAGTATTACATGAAAAGAAAAGGGGACGATTACGAGAAGGAAGACCTAAAGGGGAATATTGTCACTGATACTGAAAAGGGAAAACAGAATCTACAGCTAATGTCATTGGACAACCTGGTGCGTGAAGTAGATCATCAGGAAGAGCGACAACGGGTAAGCGACAGGTGTCATTTAGCGTAGGTTACTGTTCAAGTGCTATAGGCTTGAAGGCGAGTTGGGAATATCAGGTCGAGGCTTCACGATAATTTTCCACGTAAAAGGGTTTTAAAAAATGCAACGAAGATTTTCATTTAAAAGAAATATTTTGTTTATTTATTTATTTAGTTATCTACGTGCGAAGGTACTTTGTTGAAACAGCTATACATGAAAAGAGATATTTAACATGTAATTTTTCCTTGAAGTCTGACAATGAACCTTGATCTTGTAGGAGATGCAAACATTTCAGAAGTTCTCCTTTAAATCTCCCATATTAGTAGAATTCTTTCAGTTATTGATAATTATGATATAGTAGTTCCAAAGAAATAAAAGCGCAAAAACGTGTTGGTTTACAAGGATAGAAAGCTAATATTGTAAACTATTGTTAAAAGTGGTCAGGTATGTAAGTCAATGGGCAACATATTCCTAGCTACAAAGACAGGGGCATTTTGTCAAGAGAAAAACGATGCATACGAGACTACCTACAGTGTAATTGTTCTTACTCGAAATCGACTAAGACATTCCTTGAGAAACCATTGCCATTTCCTGATAGGCTAGGCTAAATGGAAGAACTGAATAAAGATGAATAAATGAAATTAAAATGGGAGATTTCCACTTTTTAGCGACTTTCAGGTGGCACGATTCAAGCCGGTTGCCTACTTAGTTAAAACAAAAAAGTTTCTCACCGATACATATATATAATTTAACTAGTGCTTACAGGGCACCCGTCCCCCCCCCCCTGAAATTTTGGTGGGCAGACAGCTGACACTCCAGACTAAAATTTAAACCCTTGTTTTAGATTCGCTGCTGAGAATTCCATTGTTATTTTGTTTCCATTTGCCATCAGAAACTCTTGGAAGAACTTAAGAAAGAAAACACTGTTATGGGTGACATTCAGCAACGTGTGCTCAACAATCGCGCAGTTTGCCGTGACACGCACACAGAATGGAAAGACGTGGGTAGTGGTACGATCAGAGAACTCTCCAGGCAGTACGTGAAATGCAATGGTGACGAGCTTTTGCTCCGATTTTATTTGCAAAAGAAGTCCGCAGCTGCTAAGAAAGTCAGATATAACTATCGATGTTGTCGATTGAGTTTGAAAGATAACTGGCAGAGGCCAAACGACATGTGAAGGAATAACTCTGTATTTAGCTTTGATTAATCAAAGCCTACCAATACTTTGCACTTTCTGGTGTTGCTATAGTGAGTTTAGACATGGGTTTTGAGCAACGTAACAATTACCTTCAGTTGCTTACTTTTCCTGGAATCCTTACATCGAAGAAAAATTAGATCAAGAAGAGAAATTATATTTCGTTTTTTCATCAGATTGTTTACTTCCTCGCAAAAGTGTGGGCTATCAGAGAGCAGAGCGCGCAGTGAAAAGATTTGGTTTCGATTTAATAAAAGAAAACTGTATCCTTTTTTCTTAACAAAAGCGAGTTTTAGCTTTTTGCGCGTGGCCCTGTCTTCCTCCCTATGTTTGATGCCGATTTGACTCTCATTAAATCCTTACAGAAATAAATTACCACTGAAAACTTAAATCTAAGTATTCCAATATACCTTCGCATGAGGCTTCTCGACCTGGCCAGCGTATATCGAATAGGATTTAACACCATAGTAATCAACTGTAAACTGGAAATTGACGGTTCTTCGTATCTTTTTTTTTGTTTCGATTTTCGTTCAGTTTCGTAAACAACTGTCTGAGGATGGGCTAGAAAATACAACTGAAGTTAACAATGTACGGCTGATTAAGAGCATATTTTAAATTTCACTTTATAAATAAATTTACTCGATTATTCCACTAGCTAAAGAACTGTGTAACAAAAATGGGGTCATTAACAAATAGACATGTTCTTTATGAAAATGCAGGGATCAATTCTAAAAATAAACTGAGATCCGTTAAACAAAAGAAATAAACAGATGCTGAACTTTGCTATCAGCTGCAAACATGTGGTTCGTCTAAACGTAACTTCCCTGTTTCAATTGCATTTTAAAATTCACTCTGCTCGCGAAGTGTAATTGCAGTCGATGAAGTCGGCGATTTTGGTCGCTAGAAAAAAGTCTTTCATCTTTCCATTGTCCATTGAAACTTTAAGCAAAAAATCACATCAATTTAAGCAATAGACCGCACCTTCTATTGGTTTAAAGATATTGAGAGAACCCTCGAAACCTTTATAAATCACGAGCCAAATCGCGTTAACAAAATAAACTTCAAATTTTAATTTTTTACCGGTGCACCGGAGCAATTATTTTTAACCAATCAGCGCGTTGCTAGTATTTCAGTTATTCTTTGAACATCTATTTTGACATCTGGCAACCTTTAGCTTGTAAATGACAAGATTATTTTATATAAATACTAAGGTTCATATTTATCATAAACCTTACAGTGAGAATTTCTTGAGACGTTAAACGGAATATCAAAAGTCAGCGCAATTTACAGTTATAGTTAATTTGTTAGTGATACACCGTGTTGACGAAAAAAAGTCAGTGCGGACCAGTATATGCAGACAGAATGTTCTTCAGGGCATTTTCTCATTAGTGAAATATCTCGTCTTCTCTTCTTTCCTGATTTCCTGATTTGTAATTGTTAGAAAACAAACCTCAATGATAAGAAAATAATAGAAATAATGAACAAGACACCCTACCGGCTCTGATGACGTAAACCGTATTTTTAATTGTACCAACAATAACTTTTTTTGCATTAATTTTGTCGCGGAGAGCCATTCCGCTTGTGACATCGCACAGAGATTCATCGATCCTGTGATTTGCGACCGCTTAATTTTGCGGGATTTTTAAACCTGACTTGAGGTGATTATAAGGACCAATTAGTCGAAAAGTCCAGGCATCTAGGTAAGGTTTTATCGGAGCGGTTTACAAAAATTTACACGATTAGTGACGGAAATTTACCCTGGTGCCAGTGGTTTCGCCGGAAAATTTTAGCAGGTATAAGAGAGCCAGGGCGAAAAGTACACTTGAGTGCATGGTTTTTTGACTCGCACATCTATTTGCAAGCGTTACCTTACGTTCGTGAATAAATTGTAATAAATTCTTTCATCTCTGGGGAGAATAATTTGAATAAACAAGGCACTGAAACAAACGAGAATTTCTTTTCTCTTTTTCCTTGATGATTGTACAGTTTGTCCGAGCATGGTGACATAGCGACTTTGATTAAGAAAACTTAGTTCAACGGAGTTTTAATTCTTCTCGTATTTTTATCAGCTAGTTTTGTTTAGTAAATACTTCACTGATCATGCAATGTTTTCTTGACTTAAAAAAAGCAACTGTTTACTTTCCTATGTCATAGTTTGAATCGTCGCGAAGAGGGTAAGTCACTCGGAGTCGAAAAAAAAAAAAAAAAAAAGAAAGACGAAGGATTTGAGAATTGGAATTATGGTAAAAGTCTACGATAAAAATCAAAGTTATTCGAAATAGTCACCTGCTACGGCATTTTTTAAACCTTTAAGACTAAGTTATGTCCTTATTTATGGCTTTTTCTGTACGTTCGTGCTACGTAGTCTCATCTTCTTTAATTCGCCACATCCTGTCGGTAAACAGAACGTAGCTGGCTGGTTTTTTAGCGATTTCCTTGGCTTCTTTCAATTTGGAATTGAAACAGGTTTCTTCATAGAGTCTGTGATATCCTCCGAAATGGCCGGGAAAATATTATCTATGTAAACTTTGTTTGGAAAAATCAGAACGGCTGATTGCTTGATGTATCTTGTGTTAAAAATAACAACACGTAAATGGTTCATATTCAAATTATCTTCAAAAAGAAAACATGAATTTGAATTTTCGCCCACGTCTGAAAGGAACAAATTGAAGTTGCCTTAAGGTTCATGACTATGGCGAACATATGTCTAGATGAGAAGTATAAATAATCATAGCATGTCATTAATGGCATATGTTAAACTGTTAATAGTTATTTCTCACTTCTTGGCTTTTGTGTATTTCAGGGCTGGCTGCACACTTCCCATGAATGGCGTTTACAACACGAACAATATTGTGGCCACCAACGAGTCGTGAGGTAAGATATGACTGACCTAGAGAGTTTGAAGCTTTTGCGAAAAATGACAGAGGGCGAAATTGATGGTGTTTGATTGCCATACTGAACTAGTTAAAATATTTGTATTTCCTGCGAAAAAGCGAATACCCTATATCTTTCTACTTCTACCGTATGTATTACAATCCGAGGAAAATGGGAATATTGAAGAAAATTATACTCTGCTTTTCGATAGTGGTAAATGGTATCTTGAAATATCATGGGTCTTGCAAATTTTTACCGATCTCGACACCTCGTCAGCTATCACGAGGAGTCTCTATGTCTCCAAGTTTCGCATTGCATATTAAGGAGTTGTACAGCTTTTCTTTAGTGTCGATCTCTGACTTAAAGCATAAGCTTCTCACGAGTCTTGGATTTTCTGACCATACGCCACCTTGTTTTGTGCTGTGTTCAGTTTGCTGTGAACGCCACCTTATTATTCTTTAACTTGTATGATTTCGCCGATTTACAAACTCTTCTGAGACAATTACATGATTACGAAATGAGACATCTCTATATCCTAATATTGATTCCGCTGCTTTTTTCTATTATCCGTCGCATAATTAATAGACTCAATTGATCAGCTAAACAAAAAAATTATTTTGGAGGACATTTCGTCGTTTTTCCGCCCAATGAGGATTAAAGAGGACTTAAACTTGTCTGGTTGAGAGGGTAAATTGTGCATTGTTATTATAAATGTATACCTTGACCAATAAACGAATAAATAGATAGATGGACATAGAAATGATAACAGATAAGTAAATAAATAAGTAGATTAAAAAACAAGTTTGACGGATTAGAAGGCCTTACTGGTTTTGCCTACCTTACACATATTTACCTTTTCAGTTTTCGTTTTCTTTAAAAGTAATTTTTTTTTAATATTTTCATCGTTTTCTTACGGTAAAAATTTGCATGAAAAGTTCTCTATATTGGCATAGAATACATATTTTTGTAGTGATTGCGGACAAGAGGAAATTTGTTTTCCAAGGTAGAGAAATTGTCATATCATCCAACCCGTTCTGTTCCTTGTACAATATTTTTCAGCAACAGGTAACAAGTCGATGAAATGTAAATGGCAGTTGTTTTCGATGGAACTATTTATTTCAACGGAATATAAAACTCTAAATGGCATCAGGATAAATACACGTTACACTCGGTCTGTGGAAAAGATCCTTTACGTCAGTAAGTAAACAGCGCAAAATGCTAGTCTCCGATCAAAACAGGTTAGTTCCATGCGGAATTGCTTTAACTCTAGATGCGTCAACTGCTCAGATTATTGGCGATACATTAAGTGCAAAACAAACATGATCTTACGCTCGAAATCGCGAACTTCACAGCAAGTGTGAGGAACGAAAGGATGGAAGTGAAGACGAGGCAACTTCCATCCCACCACCCCCGTAAACCTCCCACAGAAAACTCCGCGCTGGTTGCCTACCGACTCTAATCGCAGACGACGTTTAATTTCAAAAGGTTCAACGATTAAATAATTGTCATGAAAAGGCAACGTTTGCTCAAAGTATTGGATGAAAGGTGCCAAGAGTATCGATCATCCGCTAAATATTGGCTCATATGTCTGCACCTCGACTCAGCGGACATTCCAGTCTTTATGATTGATACCCTTTTCCGGTATGTTCGTACAGGAAATCCACTTAGGTGCGAAGATTTTCTAAATATTTTCAAATAAATTCTTTTCCAAATGGGCTATCAGAAAATACTGAGTTGCACACAAAAAGCCAGTAGAAAATATGTTAACCTGGTGAGACTTCAAATCTTTCCTTGGTTTCTCTTTTATAATGATAGCAACGATAGTAATCATGATATGAAGCAGTGCTATGAAACGATTGGCAAGCTGCCGGCTACATGACAAATTAATTCCTTTTAATAGCCTTACACAATAGACAATTCTCAATTTTTTCTGCAACGTTTTTTGTTTTTGAATTTATTTTTTAAATTATATTTTATGGTCAGTGCCACCCGAATCGAGCGGACACGTACAACATGCGTTTGACTCTGCTTGCCTTAGAAACTTTAAAAGCTATTGAGCCTCAAGATTTCCATTTTTGAGGGACATAGAAAACGATCTAAGGTTAAGAACATCATGAAAGAAAATGATCCGTGACCATGTGGTGGCTAGGACGAAATCCTGTTAAAGGACATTTAATAGGAGTGCAAAGCTTGGATCAACTAAAAAGCACGAATTATAAGATGTAAAATACATAGTTGGAGGTCTGAATACATTATTTTTTTTCCAATATAATTCTAATGCAAATAGTTTATGCCTTTTTACTTGTGTTTTCTTTGTAACCACTAAAAATTGTCAGGAAATTTCTCCATACAATATACACAAAATCAGCCAAGGAGAAGCGGTTATCAACTAAAGCAAAAAGTAATCAGTCGCAGTCAAAGACAAATTACTTCTTTATAGAAGATTAAGATAGGTTTTCCGAGGTGATACCAAGGAATAAGTTCTAATATGGCTCATTGGTTTGGCCAATTATCATACCCGGAGCATTGTTTTCTCTGAAGCAAACACGTCATTTTGAAGTTGACCGTGATATTATTGCCGCCAATTCAAAGACATGATTATTCCAGGTTTATTCAGGGATCAAAGCACAAAAGTTTCTATTGAATTTCCTATCTATTGGGCCTAATAACAACCTAATGTGTGCTTAGCCTCTGCGTATCTCTCAGTAACTGAGATTTAATCACTCAAGTTAGGGTCTTCTAAAAGACTCTGCTTTCTTTACCTCTGTATCTAGCGGTATTTCCACATTTCAGTTGTTTATTGTGGAAAAAAAAACCTTGACGATATGCGAGGCATTGCGTCACTTATGATGTAATGGAATTGGTTTGTAAAAGGATTATAAACTGACCTCCGCGTGTCCAATATCCTGTTTTGCTCTGGTCAATATTGTTTGTTGTCGTAGAAGAGAAAACATAAACGTTCTTATCCGACATGGACGACGTGAGTAATGTCATCGGCATAGTTTGGTGATTCGTGAGTTGACGTAGTGAAGACGATTTGAGGCATCTGGTGCCCACGGCATACTGCTATTATCTTTAAGGTTGTTGGTACATCCACAGGAAATGGACTTCTGTTGAGTCTATACCACGGAACCTCTTTCACCTTTTCGCCCGACCAAATTACTGCTTCTTTGCTGTCTGTCCTGATGTCTTCTCCCATTTCCCAAAACCGGTAGAGGCACAACTAACAAGTCGTACATTTTTATTTTGAAGAAGACTGTAGAGCTCAGCCGTCGTGCACAGTACAACGGAAAAAATATCTGGTGGAATGGGCGGAAAATGGAAAACAATACCTCAGCATCGTGGACTGTCATACCTGAACGCTCTGTTGGGCACCCTGTCAGCGGTTTCTCGTTAGCAGTTTTGGAAAAGGTATTATATGCAGAGCAGCAGACCTTTCTTTATGCATTTTTTTATCTCGAGTATGGTACGTTCGATCTAATGTTTTACAGGTAGGTTTGTCCGAGCCAGTGTATTTAGCAAATTAGTCGAGTAGATTTACACGATCTCGTCGCCATCAGCACAGGAAGTCGTTTTCGAGTTGCTGATGTCCGTCACACTTTTCAAACCGGGAAATTTATTTGAACGCACGTTCGATTCCTTCCCAAACCAGACTGCAGTGTGTCGAAGTCGCTTCCATTCTTTGTCTCAACTAATGTCAAAACTTAAGTAATTGCATGAAAAGCCTAAATTTCACTTTTTATGTCATGACACCTGGACGCTGTTTTGCTTTTGTTGTGATATTCAGATCGCAGAGATTTTGGATTGTTCTCAAGAGGCTGTGCAAGATACCCAAAACTTACAGAGAAACTTAGAATCTCTCATAGAGGAAAAGGAACACTGGAGAAACTTTATGGATATGGACGAGTGGAACAGAGCTGCAGTCGACGAGGTTGAAACAGCGTGGAAGAAAAGGTATTCACCCCTGCCTAGCTTATTCCTAATTACTGATTACCTTCGTGACTCTTTTTTATAGCCATCAGGCACGAATAGAGGGGCCAACATTGTTTCGACACCTCTTTTATAATTAATGCGATAACTAAGTGAGGAAGATAAGTTGCAATCGATTCGAGTGGAATGTTTGGACGAGGATATAATATACTTAGGTAACAAAAGGGGTCAAAAGTAACATCCATTTCTCACAATTCGATATTAGCTTTCAATCTTAGAGTTATTCATAGATGTCATGCTGAGAACGCACTGAAGCTGTAGCATTGACTAATTACAATAAGAAATTGAGTTTCAAGTTGTTATGTATTAGCCCGAAGAAGGGAAAGTAATCTTTCGTGATATCGAAAATCTTTTTTTTCTTATAGAAGTATTTGTTCACTCCTAAAGGTTATTTTGCTTTATAATTTGCATTAGTTTGAAGGTAATGAAGCTAAGATGAATGGCAGTTGGAGCTTTTCCCTACAATATGTTTCGTTTGAATTCATCGTTTCTCGTAGTTTCACAACACGGGAATTCAAGATTCACCTCAGTTGAATGACTTAAATTATTGTAAACGCCTGGACCTCAGACTGTTCTTGGTTTCAACAAATACTTTCCGCTTTGAATCGATTTTAAAATATTCTGTTTCTGATGGCGTGCATTTGTTTTGTAAAGCAGTTAATTGTTTGGTATGATGTTTTTGCGGTAATTGCATGGGAAAATAACAAACGGGCTGTTTCCCTCATTAGTAAAGAACTCTGTCCTTCAGTAAACAATGGATTATAATCACCTTGAGAATTTGACCGAAACGAGAACTTAGCTGTTATCACGTATTCATATTAGACTGAGTAGATGTCGGATGTCGCCCTTGAAAAGTCTATTTTGTGTTACCTTTAAATCATATTAGCAGAGCCGATTGGCTTCTTTGATGTGGTTTCAAAGAGTGCATGCCTCCAAAATATTGTAACCTGAACTATGGCGTGAGAGATACAAAGGAAAATATGTTGAAGTTAAGGAGATCATAGCAACATTCTTGGGAAACCAATTTATTCAATGCTAACTACCCCCTAGTCTAGCATTTTACAATCATTTAAAAATAGTTATTTTCTTTCCTCATGAGTTCATTTGAGACGAACTGAACACTAGCCAGAAGGCATTGAACGCCTCCGGTTTACCGTGATCCATATTCAAACGGGGCGGGCTTGGGTTTAGATGATCAGGTGACTCCCCAGCTCCTTGAGAATGTTGTATCCTTAGGGCGAAGGATGCGATCGAACCACGCGAAGTAAACTCATAATCATAAACTGTTCTTTAACTAGTAACTCTACATCATGACATAAGCGCTACTTTCATAGAATAACTAAGCTTACATTCCGTGGTATCACCCAGTCTCAATACGTCTGGGTCATCACAGAAGAGATCTACGACCAGAGACTGGTCGAAACCATGATGGGTGAGAATGATGTGTCACGACAATTAAAAAGCATTTAATCGATGAAATTGAAGAGATAAAAGTGGTTGATCACTGAATATAAGATCAAGGGTTTGTTATCATGTTAAACAACCAATATCGCAATCTCCATTTAATGTTTTCGAGATATCAGTTTTTTTTTAAAGTTCTTGTCTACTTTCATATACTAAGATCTATTATCATGGATATAATTAGAAGGTCACAAACTATTAGCTCGTGCCTGTCATTATTCAAAGTGGAAAGAGAATCAAAACAATAAAACAAAACAAAGCTATAAAGCAGATATTAGCAGGCGCTGTTAGGCGACAAGACAAAGACTAATACGCCTGTTTAACAACTAGTTATTGTTTTAATTCCGCGATGCAGGAAAAATAAGGGACGTCTGTAAATAATTTCTTTATCCAGCAGTAAGTAGAGATATGGCGAATGGCCCAATTTGTCAAGGCCTGACTGGTGATTTTGTGGGTAAATGGTCTAATTTTCCGAAGAAGAATGAATCCCAAGCCTCGCGCTTCCAAAAACGGATACTATATGTTTCGTGTTTGTCGCCGTGTTAGAAACAAAAGTCGCCAAGAGTTTTTTTTTCCATTTACCAATTGTATGAGCTGAATAGGAGATAAAGAAGAGTAGCTAGGAAATTAATACCTAATGAATTTTCATCACCGAGGGTTCTGAAAGGCACATTCGTTCTAAATAGAGACATAGAATGATTGGTAAGACAGATATCGTAGATCTCATTTAATGAAGGGTACGACCACATTTGTTTATTTTCAAGCGCCGCCCACAAACTGAATACTTTCATCAAAACGGCGCAAAGCCGTTTCTCGCCCGAGGCTATAAACCTCATGTCAACTCGGGGCCAACATCACGCTTTGTGCACTCTTTAAAAGTTTAGTCCTGAAATGTTCGAGTTTACCATTACAGCTTCTTTACATCGTGAATCACCATTTTCCCGTTTTTCGTCTGACCCCTTTATTGTCTTATTCACACCAGGACAAGCGAGATCTTCAGTCTATTTTAAAGGAACGATGAAAATGACTCCAAACCTCGTGACCTAACTATGCCTTCTCTCACTTACCTTCAACACCCTCGGGATTTCGTGTTTATGATGAGTTTGTGCTTTGTATGTTGACATGGAAATTTCACCACACAAGGTGGATGTATCTTTGAGCGCTCTGATATATAAACAAAGTCTATGCGTGCGTATTAGAAATAATCCACTTAGCACCATGTTAAGAAATTTAATTACACTCGGAAAACTGTGCGAGAGCCCCTGAATGATGAGGTAATTTTGTGATATAATTTTTCTCCAAGACCGGAAGCTTTTAGCATTAATCCCGCGAAGGAGTGCTTACACCAGAAAAAGAGTTTACGAACTCAAAATATATTAGAACGCACATTTGAAAGAAGAGGGCCTAATTTGATCTTGATCGTTAAACACATGTTATCCTGAACAGGTTTCTTATGAGCAGGTAGTGGTCACGGTACAGCCACAATAACAAAAATAAAACAAGCGACGTATCTTCAACAGTCTAGAGGAGAACTTTGTGGTGAATAGGGCCATCACGAGTTTCATGAGTGATATTTCATTTCTACAAATGAGCTTGTTACAAAATACAGTCATTTTCTAAGATTTTGAAACCCAAAAGAAAGAAGATGAATGTTGGAATATTTAGGGCTTTGCAGGAGTGGAAAAATACCAGAAAGAGCTAAATTAATTGGTGAAGGGGATCGCTAATACGGATTGTAAAGTCATGAACTTGAAAAAACTTAATGATGCTAAAATGGTCAAAAAGTGACGTAGTTAATAGTCTGTCGTCTTTCTTTTTAATGACTTTATTATTTTCCTTTTTCTTTTGAGTTCTCGTTTTCGAAAAAACCTACTTACTCCGCTTAAATTGGTTGTTGTTTCGGTCTCTGAAACCGCCAGAAGACTGGACACAATCAAAGGAATTTACATATAAGGGTTCTCTTGTGTCACTCGTAATAAAGCTAGTCCTAAATGCTACGTCATAGTGATTAACAAGGTCTTGGATGGAGTCTGCGGGCTCTTGTAAGTCATCAAATAAACTTCCAAGATTAGCCTCGCAGTATCAAAGGAACCACTTATCACTTCAACTCTGGCTTGCTTGGTGTATTGACCTGTGCAAATGATTCAACTCTGCAATCCATTCTAAATGCTTGGTAACATGGACTCGACGTTTCCTTATAACATCGATGGTGGCTGCACAGCTTGGATACTGCAGTTATTAAGGTTTGTTTTGCGCCCAGAACCAAATTATGTTCCGATATCAGAGCACGCACCACAGCTATTGTAACATCGTGTTGAAGATACCTCTTTCAGATGTCAGGGTTTGATCGTAAATGCAAGTTAAGTACTGACTGTAGATCCATACTTTTCTTTCTAAAAAATATGTTTGTGCAGTGACTCCAAAACCCGTAGGTGAAAACCATTACATTGCACTCACGACAAATGCGTATTATGGGGTCGTTTTTGTAGTTTCATCTCGGCAGTAAAGCCAAATGTTTCCATTCAAATCAGCTCTATGGAGACACAAATGAATAAAATTATAACTACTCAAGCAGTTGTATAAATATCAAGAAAAAAACGAAATATAGAACTCTGTAACGTATTTACAATGTAATGTATGGATGCACTATGTTTTCATTATTGGGCACTAAATTTTTACACCCGGCCATATATTGTTCTTGTTGAATGCTTTTGTCCAAGACGAAACTACATGTGGTCTAACGGTTTACTCGGATACCTTGACTGTAAATAGTCATTGTGTTTTAAGCATCTTTGCCATTCGGCTTGCGATGCAAATGATACACACTTTTGGTTTCTTGAATGACGCTCACGATTGTTCATTTTGCAAGACGTGGAGATTTCAGTACAGAACAAATCAAGGCAGTTAGGAAGAATAACTTCCGTCCTCCGTGATTTTACAGCGATAATTTCAAAGCCTTCCGGAAAAATAGTAAATAGACTGGCAAGTGTTTGATTAGAGTAAAAGATCAAGAATAAACCTAAAATCCTGCAAGAACCCCCTTGATTTTCTGAAGTACAAAGCGTGTCATTAGTCACAAGTAGAATTTTCAATTGATTCTGAGTTAGTAGGTAGCTTTTACAAATTTGCGAAGTTTTAGGAGATATTTTGAAATTTTAACAATAGTTGCACACTTTATATCTAAAACGGACTTGGTATTCCCGAAACTCTAGGTTCCCCTGGCATAGCTAATTGAAGTCATTAAGCCATTTGAGCCTTATTTAGTGAAAACTTGATGATATTAACAAAACTTGAAATTAAACTGTCAACGAAAGCAGACGCAGAAAGATTCATCAATTTGAGAAGAAGGAGAGTCGACACTCAATTAGAAGAAACAATCCTCCGCGGCCAAACGGAAACTTGTTATGGCATACCTTTTTTTCTAAAAACCAAAAACCTGATGTTAATCAACTAAGTTATACAGTCCATGAAGTAAATCATGTTCAAACATTGTTCAAGTGTTGTTTTTACTACACTCGAGAGCTATGCAATAATTGTTTATTATTTCATACACAAAGCGGTGAATATATTCTCTTTCCACAAACAAATTTGCTGTTGGTTTTAAATTTCAACTCCAAGGCTGCAAATTTCTCAGGTGCTTCCTAAGGTATTCACAAAGGATCCATATCTATTCAAAGGTGTTTTGGAAGGAAGTGTTATTTCGTTTTCATGTTTCGGCAATGAGCTGGCCTATTCGAAGGCTTACCCTTGATCCCACGGCCCTATTCAGCGTCTATTAATATTTTTGCAAGGGCAATGAAAAGTGACATTTATGCCATCAAAATAGACGCTTTTTGCATATTCAATTTTGTTTTTTAACTATTTGTTTGCGTAGCCAACAGATTCTTTTGCCGTCCATACACATTTGTATTTCTTTTACCCCCTTCAAAGTTTTCTTCATAAATCAGTAATGACTTGAATAATTGCTTCAGTATTTGCATTGTTGTTTCCTGAAGCAGCTCTTTCACTGCGTTTTAAAAAATGATTGTTTTCGAGCATCTTTTAAAGAAAGCAGTACACATGCTGGCCGACTTCTTGTCGCCAGGTCATAAAATGATGTCACTGTATTTGCGCTCCTCGATAGGAACTCCATATCGCTTAAAACTCTGGGAGTTTCTTGAAACAAAGACATATTCCAAACTGATCCCTGAAATAAGATTTTTCTACACTGGTTGGCCTGAAAACCGTCCTAAACAAGAGCTACCCATCTTTTTCACACAATTGTGGCCAATCTTGTTACGTGACAAATCGCTGTTTGACAAGAAAGATTGTTTGTTGAAATGATTAACTAAATGTTTGAAGTGCTTTCTGTCGGCGTTTCTTAACGGAAACCTGAAATGACAGGATAAATCTTTCAAGGTCATTTAGGTCACTTCGTGTACTGTGAAAGAATCATCACAAGTGAATTTAAAGAAATAGTCAGTATCAAACAGAATGCATCCATGTAATATTTTGCTACTTATTCAAAGACAACATGAAACTGAAATATTCAGTTAGAAATTACAGCAATGAATTATAATTTTCAATATGTTCTTTTATGCTAAATGCATTTGAGATTATTATTATAAGTATAATAAGAGACAAGGGTCTTTCTTATCTGTTCATGTTTGAAACTTTTAGAAAAGAAGCTTCCAGCAGTTTTGTTTCTTTGAGATGTTTCGTTGATCTCCAAGGTTTAAAAGTTTAAATACTCTGATAAAGAATCTATTTTAACGCCTGTTTGGCAATGGGAAGGAACGTCCGTCATAGAGGAAGGTATGATAAAAACAAGAGTACTTGATCGTCATTTATCACTTCTTGGTAAACAAAAAGAGTTACTTTCAATTGGTCGGAAGGAAAAGATTCGTTCATTGACTAATTAGAAAATGAATTCATTGATCAAGAGAATTTTTTGCCACTATCGAAGAGGATTTTAATCTTCTTCTTAGTTGTATTGGTTTGTGGGACCGTCATCAACCCCATCTTGCATTGCTTATTGCAGAAAAATTCATCTGACTGGTGATTTGAAAGGGTGATATCAACTCAAAAGTGATGAAGAAAATTTAATCTCTAAGCCTATGTGTCGTGCGTGAAAAAATTTTGGTCTTTTTCAAGCCTGTAGAAATCAAATATCACAACACCTTCTTTTTTCACAGTTGAGAAAAAAAATGTACGGCAGAAACAATACCTTCCGACGCTCCATTGAAAACAGGCCGCTTTAAATGACGTCAGTCATGTGCAAAACAGAATGCTGATGTAAACAATAGAGAGGTCTGGCATGCCATCATAAAGAAGTCTTGTGATTTGAAAGCACCTTTGCAGCTGTACCGATCTGCCCTTTTTATACGATATTTCATGAAACTGACTGTGAAAATTGTTGAAATTTTAAGATAAGCCATGGCAAATCTTTTAATGTTCCATGTTGTGGCTGTTCATTCAACGGGCAGTAAATCACTCGTTGAGCTCAGGTAATTACATTAATCCTCATTGAGGTTTTCCTGTACTTTCTAACGGATATTCTCTTTTAACTCGATTTTTGACTCAGTTGTTTTGGTCTCTAATCTTTTTTAATGATGGAAACTTAGATCTCAGGGTGACCAGTCAACGGAATTACTTTCCTTGGAAAATCTTCCTGACGGAGGAACACTTGAACCTGAAAAACCACATCCTCACACAAGACCTCTTCGGCGTTCGCACACGGACCCCACAGACCTACTTTGGGTATTTCGTAGACGTGCATCCTTGCTAGCACAAAGAGTTCATCAAGATCTTGCCTCCAGTGGAAATACGAATGAATGCAATGAGCCATTTCGAGATGAGAGCGTTGAAGAAAACTGCAAGACTGAGCAAGGATTTAATAAAACTTTTCCCGGCAAGGTACCTAAACTAATAAATAATGATGATGTGCATGGTAGTTACACTTACACCTTCATTCGTCTAGGGTATTGTCGTTATGAGATGGCTCCTCTCTATCAAAGCGAATATGTTACCCGACAAAGATTGTACCAGGGTCCCACTTTACACAAGTGTCCTGGAATACTTAACGTGTTAAACATGGTACTTAGATCGTTAGGGGAATAATTAACCCTTCAAGTTGGTATGTAAACAACATCTCAGCGAGATATATTAGTATTATTAAAGACTTTTTTAACATAGTGAGATATCACATGGACAATAAGCGTTCGATAAAGATTCGGCTAGTGTACAAAATGTAATTTTCGTACCTGAAGGGTTGTTTGTTAATCGGCACACTAATTTATTTTATATTTGTTCCATGTAAGCCTTGTATTGACAATTAGGCTTGCGATTGTCTGGTCTAAAGCACCTTAGCCGATGATCTGCATCTTATTTCTGAACAACCTTCCCTAGGAGCGAGTTGGTAGCGCCGCAGTTTTTCGATATCGTTCTTCTGCGCCAAGAGATGATCTCTTGCTGCGCTTATGACGGAACTGTAAAATACATCATTTGTTCTGATGCCACCATTATCGTGAAATTATGGAACACTGATTACCTCGTAATTAAACAAGGGAGTGTTACCTTTATTTTGTTGAAGCTTCAAGCCGCCAGAATGTCAAGCAATTACGACTTCTTTGAGTTCAAAGGTGGAAGAAACCGAATCTATATATGAAATTTGCTTTGTTTTCTTCTCAACTATTATAAATTAAAACGTAATTGTTATACAGCAATTCTTTAGCCTCGGACAGAAAGTTGGTGAGCGTTTTCGACACAATCAATCTTTGGATCTGTCCGACCAAAATTATTCAAAAAAGTTTTGTTGACTCAGTCGCCTCTGTTTTTGAAGGCGTCCGCTGGTCATAACATTACTGAAATAGAGCAGCGTTATTGCTATCACTGCCATGCATGCATGTGAAGAAGGTGCAGATTTTAGACCCCCGGACAATTGCGCGGCTCCAAAAGCACGCGTTTACTTTGCAGGAAGTACTGACAAATCAAAACAATTAGACGTCATCGCGGAATACGATCTGAGCTTCTTTGTGGATTAGCTATTGAGAAACAAGAATTAAATTTGATTGCGAACCGTGAGAATTTTTTCCAGATTAGTGGATACCACTGTGCCAAGAATAAAAGGCGTAAGCACTTAAATGACTGTAATAAAAGATTGTCATCGCAGCTTTGTTTTTGTTCTGTTGAGTTTCTATGGGCGGCTCTATGTCGCCGTGAGGGTCCGTAGATCAGTTTCAAGTAGCTAAAGAAAACTTCTGTGCTTCTTTTATTTTTGTTTCTCGGGAGTTTTATGGTAGCTACATTCTGTTGAAATAAGTGGTGTTAATATAAAGTTCTTAAGGCATTAAGAGGCTTAAACGGGTAAACAAAGAGCAATTTGCCTTCAGAGGATAAAGTACCGCTTATAACAGTTTGGATCGCAAGTGCTTTTCATTTGACCAATTATATTTTGGCTGAGCTAGTCCATTCTTGTATGGGGTATTGGCATAACTGGAATAGTTAATCACAAATATCTATGATGCTTGATGTGCGTGAAAAAACAATTGCGAGGAGAAATGATTAAAAATCAAGTAATTATGGGACTCATGATAACTTTTTTGTGATTGTTAGGTATTCCTAGTCAACAGATCGTTTCATTGCGTCTCAGTCAGTAAGGCAGGTGAGAGGGGTCTCATATTTACCAAACAAGATCACCTGTCTCGTACAAAGCATGTTCTGATAAACTGGAAACGTAATCTGATTGAAATAAATTATATAAGCGTCTTTTCATGTCATACGTTAAACTAAGGTTAAACCCTAAACGCATATCGAATCGTAGACTGAAGACTGCGGGTTGTTTCTCCAGCGGAACCGTTTAGGTGAAAGTAAAAGTGTAAGAACGGGACTGAATCATTAGCCATTCGCGCTTTTCAGTGTTATCGAAAGCCAAATACACTATCATGATTGTCAGATTACAAAGCCTTGAGTAATTCTTTTCAAACGTGACTTGATTAGAGAAGGAAAAAAAGGAAGGGAGGAGGAGAGGTCTTACTTTGTTTGTTTGTCTGTTTGTTTACGTTTGTTGACGAGTTGCTGTGTCGAACGAAAATCCCAAGTTCGTTTTCATGTCAACCATCGATGGTTTTCACTCCTTCATCGATAACACATTAGTAAACCATTGGCATATGGAGAGTACGCATGCACGTTCTCATATTGTGACGGTGATCTCTTTTATGTAAACTAAACAATAGTTACGGCCTGACGGCTATGTCGGCCACTGTGTATCTCTATATGTCGACGGACTCTAGCTTGTAGTGGCACCATATTTTCTAGCTTGTAGTGGCACCATATCTTCTAGCTTGTAGTGGCACCATATTTTCTAGCTTGTAGTGGCACCATATTTTCTAGCTTGTAGTGGCACCATATTTTCTCGCTGGAATAAGCGCCTGAGGGCTTATTCACAAATTTCGGCTAAAAGAAGGGGCGCTGATTGGAAGGAGGATGCTTAATCGAGGGGGTGCTTATTCATTATTCATTGCTTTCTTCCAACGCATCCCAATGTATCATCGTGGAAACTAATTCTCAAAGACTAGAGAATGGTATATAGTTGTTCCTGAGAAGCTTACCGCATTTAACAAGAGCAGCAGTATAGGACAAATAGTTAAATAAGGGACCCAAGGCACGTAGAAATGGAAATGACTGGAACTGATGGCTTCAAGGTGCTGATTCCATTTTTGTTGAAGCTCTAAAAGTTATGAATGAAGTGGCAATAGAACAAGGTTAACTTGTATATCTACTTCTTAGGAAAGTAAGGGACTGTGGGGGTGGCGCTTATTTGACATTGTGACCTGAGAGGTGGGCGCCGTTGAGGGAGGGTGCTCCTTGGAGCGTGAGCGATTTTTCGGGGAAACACGGTAATACGGTTCAATAGACCAACAAACCGTACGTGATAAACCATAGCTGGGGGACGAGAGAAAATCACCAAATAGTTTCATGTAACTTCATACAAAGAAATTCGGCTTTCTAACTAGCCCAGTAATGGCACTAAAATATTTCTGTTCGGTGTCACACCGGCGCGGAGCAGGTGTCCCTTTGGCAATTTTCAATTTTATTCTTTAAACAGGCGCAGTTCCTAAAGGCACTAATTGGCAGTTAATGTTGGGACAGTAAATAGACCATTCTATCAAAAATATCATACTTACCTTGCGTTGGGTAATAATTTAGGGGTTGTTATTCTTGAGAAATTCACAAGTGAACACATCAAATCTGGACTTGTTTCTTACTCGCAGGACACTCGACTACCTTGCATTCAACAGTTGCTATGAGTTCACGCGCTCGGTGTTTGGGTGCATGGAGGTATTTCATGAGATCTCCTGGGATTTGATAGACTGTTGTCTGGAAGGCATGAGTTCAAGCTTCAAGGAACCTTTAATTATGATTTAGCTGTTGAAAGCTAAAAAGTCACCACTCAGTCCGCCACTGAAACAAATACAACTAATTCATATATTTAATTTGTCATAGGGAATCCTGCTTCGCCAAACCCTTTCATCCGAATCAAAATTATCACTTAAATAGAAGACATTTATCGAATCTATTATTGTTTTGGGCGGGTGTATATGACTTTCAGATTACACAATTCAACTCAAGTTGGTCTTCCGGTGACAGAAATTATATGTTAATATGGTTGGAGCCTCAGGGCTTGAAGACAATGGACTGTGACTCCCATCACGTCATCTTTGATGGATGCGATCAAAATGAATATTTTCACTATACGCCCATATGATTTCATTCGAGGACGTACAACTCAAATGTGTCGCGAGTCTCCTAGACTTTTGGTGACAAATTTGTGACGATTCGCAGAACTCATTTAAAAGAAAATGCAGGTGATTATGTCGCTTTGAGTCGCAGCCAATTAGCGGTGTAGTTTTAAGTATATTTTCGTTTAACCTCTTTAGATATGTCATGCAATTTTCAATTCTCTTTCAGACTCAATATTCGCGTTCGGTCAGCTCGTCTTCGCAAGGCAAACATCCAAAGGAGCCCGTCGGGAATGAAGAAAGATCAAGAGAATCAAGCAGTGACAGTGAGTCAAGGGACACTGCTTACGAATGGACCGCTATGGTGAGCTTACGTGGTTTCATCAGATATCCTCTAACCATAATTCTGCTAACACGATTGCAAATCGTTTAGCACTTCATCGTCTCTTTGATAAAATGCAGTAGACCCCGACAAGTGCCACCGATCTATACAAACTCTAAATTAAACTCGATGAGCGCGATAACAGACATAATATGGATACGATGTTTATCAACACTGTTTATTATTTACTTTCCACTATACCCAAACAACTGCTCTCACCCACTGAACAATTCTGTCGCACTAACTTACGACACAAAGCCGTCATGCATGGTGAACATTTAGGTAGGCTATGCGGCACTTTTCAATGTTACTGGATTCGTCACTATTGACTTGCTTATATTTGAAATTGGCTTAAAGTTAATCCTTAACGTATACTGAAGTGGTCACGGAAGCCGGCCAGACTAAATGTGTCCAATTTCTGACCAATTATTAGGGCGATGATTAAAAACATTGAATGATTTTCTCAATGAATTGGTAGCAAAATCTTGCGAGGTACTTTCTATATGTAGCTGTGAAATATACGGAACGTTTTCCCGCCGTATGTGGCGGAAGAAATGCCACCGACACTCGGTGACGTCACGAAACGACAAAGCGCGTGGGTTAGAAAGTGATGTTTGCGCGAAGCATGTACGAGGAAGTTGTACTGGAATATCTAAAGACTCTTGCAATGGTTGGGTTTTAACTGGAATGCATGAGCGGCAAATTTTGTACAATTGATAAAATAAGCAGTAAGCAACAGAGGAGGACGAATTTTTTATTCGTGATCGACCTTACGTTATAGTTAATTGTTGCAGGTATGTGAGAAATGCTTTCAAAAGTGCAGTTATTCAAAAGCAGCGAAGCAACGATACAAAACAAATAAACAAATGAAAACACGAGCGAAAGAATGTGTGCCTGAAAAATAGCTCACCTATTTGAGGTCCTCAAGAAATGTCTCAGCTTCACTATGTTTATGACTTCCTGTTATTTGGTGAAACTATTTCCCGTCGTGAATCGATTTCCAAGCTGGACCCTCGCTGAGACGAAGTAGGAAAAATTGAAGTTTCTGGCTAATTTTCTGTACGAGAATCATCGCACAGCTCAAAAATATACATACTTAAGGAAACAACCAAAACAAAAAGGTATGATACTTGTCGATGCGAGCTGGAAAAAAAAAAAAAACAGATCACGTCCTTACAGTATATTGAATAAGTATTTGAACCCCTATTATGACATGATCTGTTATTCAAAACGGCGCCTCTCTGTGACATCATTTTATAGTCATATAGCCTTCCAACGGACGTTTTCTCACAGTTGGCGTGAAACTTTAGATTTAACCCGGCATGGGACTCACTGATAACATATCTCAACCTTTTCTTTTCGGAAAGTTGGTGCACTCTAGTGTCGATTGCTAAACAAACTCTGCATCGCCCTAAGTAAACTTTGCGTGGTTTATGACGTTTGAAGAGGGCCAATAAAACGCTATCATCTTGACAGCATATACTCTCTTTGCGAATTCCTCCGTCACTCCTCATGTTTTTTTAGGTTGGTGAGCGATTCATTTAAAACCAAAGAGCGGTGTCATCGTTAGCGTAATTCGAACTTGTTTTCTACAGAAATTTGACTCGAGTCAGCGGGAATGAAACAACGCTTTCAAGTCCTGGGAGAACGCAATTGTGTTCGATAATTCAGTGATGCTGTGATTGTTTGTCGCGAGTGATGCTCAATTGGATTAAGCACCTTTTGAATTACCGTGTAATTGCCTAGAAGAGTCTTTGGCGAATTCAGAGTTCACTGCTCAGTTACATCAGTTCTGCGACAATGAGCTCGTATCGTCGTCGACAAAGTTATCCGCGATCTGCATCGGATCCTTCAAAAATGCAGGTAAAGAAGTAAAAGTGGTGATTGTTGTTTACACTTTTCAGAGTTCGTCGAGAGGCCCTTTTGTTTCAATAAGCATTAGTTCGATAAAGTGCTCAGTAATGGAAACATTTCTGTGCAAATAAATAGCCCTGGAAAAAATTCAGTGAGACGACGGGATCGATACCACTTATTAATGTTACTATGTTTCAAAGTTGTCCAAGTGAATAATCTAGAGGATAATCGACCTGCGAAAATTACCGACTGGAGGAGAGAAAGCGTTCAGAAAAATTTAATGAAGTAACAAGAAGCGTGTCTTTTTAAACATCTGGTAAGGTTTCCTGGTTTAATGCCATTTTCTCTGATTGTTAGCCCACTATGGGTTGAAATATGGTCCCGCCTTTTTAATACGAGTGTTTTAGTGAACAATCGATAGAACTTTGACAAACATAGATAAGTAAATTGCCTTCGGCAAGTTGCAGTATATTGACTGATGACTGATGAAACATACGGTGTTCGATACGTTTTCAGAGATAAGAATGTAGGTTGATCAAAATAGATCTGTAATTTACTTAGTGCTTTTGTAATTTACTTAGTGCTTTTGTAATTTACTTAGTGCTTTTCTAATTTCTCTGGGTTTTTATTACACAGATAACAGACAGACATTAAGACTGACCTTTTAACACGCTATTACAGCTGAGATTTTTATCATTTTTCTATTAGATGAGTTTAAAAGCTGGAAAACTGGAACACCTTCAATGATTGCTAATACAGAAATATTTCCCTAAATCTAATACCTGTCATTATCACCAGGAATCGTCAATTTGTTATTTGTTTCAACACTTCCTTTTATCGTATGATGAATTCTGAAAATTATATTAAGAGATTGAAGATATACATTTTTATTCTTTTTAGCCAATGAAACATCTTCCACGACGCAAGATCTCGGCGCCAGCGTACCGTCCAGGTCGCTCTCAGGTGGCAATGCCTGCAAATCGTAGAGCAAGTGTGGCGGTGGCCCCCCGGCGTATCAACAGAAGAGGAAGTGAGGTTAGTATGGGATTTATTTTGTTTAAAACTCTGAGGTTTTTTTTATAGACCAGAGACAAACCAATGTTCTGGTATTCATTAATTCTTCGTCGTATTCCCTGGGAAAAGATAACTCAGTCTGACCAACTATGATACGGCTAAAAGGCACAGGGAAACTGTGATCTAGTGATTCTTAGCCTTTGTAGAGTCAAAAGAATCACTAGACCTAGTGATTCTTAGCCTTTGTAGAGTACAAATAACATTTCTGTTAGGACGAGCTCAAACAACCTCTTGATAATTGGTCAAGATTAAGCTGCTGGTTCTAAGCTTATTTCACGGAAATGAAGATAACAATTGAGTGTGTTTGAATGAACGGATGTAACTTTTAAGATCGTGTGTATGTGTGTTTGAATGGGGAAAAAAGAGGGTGAGAGTTTGTGCAAAGGCGCCATCAGGGATAACCTATCGCTTCAAATTTCGATGAATATATATTTCCCGCTACCTTTTTCTGTTTGCGGCTTTTATAATGGAAAATATAATCAATAACTGTGACTTCAAAAAAGGTGGTTTTGCCTAAGGCAAAATATTCATAACTATTAAACATGAATTTGAATGAGTTCAATCAAATATAGGACTTATGGGTTTGGTTAACTTATTTCTTTGATTGGTACAGAAACAGAAAATTCGCCTTATTCTCTATAGTAAATACAGTATATAAGTGTAAGTGAACTTAAAAAAAAAAAAACCTGACACGGTTTGATGCTACTCTGGTTTAAGGATTTAATGAATGTAATGAATTATAATTCATGGACCAAAGTCTCGACACTCCTGTGTAGTACCTTCATCAGGGGTGATCTAATCACTGCAGCAAGAGGTCCCTTTATATGCTCACTAATATATATCAATAATACCCTATTGGTTGATTTTTTTTCGACAGCTAAAATAACTGGAAGATGTTCAGTTAATGAAAGAAAAAGCCTTAATTTTTTCGTGATGCGCTTTTGCCTTTTTGGTTTCTCTAGTTTACATGAACATATAGTAGGATTTGGGAGTCGAAAGGTTTTAGGAAATCGACTGAGGAGCTGGTCACGTTTTACCACAAGGGGCGTATAGCAACTGATGTCGCAGAGAGAAACGTGAACATGTCAAGGGTGTCAAACGGGAATTAAGCGTGTGCGGGGGAAAAAATCCTCATAAGATGAAGTTCCGAAAACTTCATACCCACTCAGTTTGCAAACATGAACTGTAGAACTGCACAGACTCTTTACCGAAAGTAAATGGGTAATTAATATGATACGTGAGTTCTCTTGGCATTAAAAAAAAACATCCGATTAACCACATACTTAAGCAAGAAGATGAAGGCTTCACACAAACTGGTAATATCAACACACACTCTCGCTCCTTTTATACAAACTTAAAGATCTCCCAGCAGAGGTATTTTATATGTGTGCAAGAAAACTCAATTTGAGGCGACAGAACATAAAACAAAAGAGCAAAAGATTTCTCTCAGTTTCATGAGTTTATAAACTTAACCGTATTTTTTTCGACGGATGACTGAATACTTGAAAGTTCGGCCGAGGGTTTATTTCCACGATGTTGTTTTCTAGTTCTAAAAATTAATAGTACTACGAGGAAGAAAATCTAGCTATTTTTTGTCTTTTACTTTCCTTAACAGAACTATTTGGGCACCGCCTTACTTCCACCTTTCTGGCATGGAACCTTCTTCTTCTTGGCAGTATCAATGCCCACTTCCTCATATAATTTTGACAATTTCTCCTTTATGCCTTCTGCCCATAATCTAGTGAAGGTCTTTCTCAAATTTCACAGGTCTTTGCTGGATGGAATCTTCTTGATGCATTCCGTTAGGAAGCACAAGCTTCTTCGCATGAGTTTCTGCGCCTCTGACACAAATGATCTCATTCAACCGAAAAAGACTGTGTGACGTCAAATCGGCGGTTTGAGTCTTCTCGCCTTTTGCGTGCTGCTTTGTTTATTATAACTATTCTTTCGTCTACAAATAATTGACATTCCGGTTGAACAAACAGCAACTGCAATTAATTTGCGTTAAACATAAGAGCTCTCTTGGGAGGTGCGTTGTCTTGGTTTTCATTCTTAGGGGATCAAATAAACATAAAGCGAGGTAAAAACTCAAATTCATGTGTACATGGAAAAGGCTGCTATGATCATACACGGCCAATCACGTCGTCTGCTATGGCAGAGACACTTCACTTGCCGTTCATCAGCAACTTTACTTTCAACCTAGAGAAATGTTTATTTGAGTTGATAATTTTAAAGGAAGCCCTCTTCAGTGAACAACAGGTATAGTGACCAAATTATTTTACTTTTTCGAATTTATTCCCATCCAGTATGGCGGGGAATAACACTAGACTTCTATTAAAACAACAGAGCTGAACACACCTGTTATTAAAGTCACTCGAAAGATTGCTACCCCACATACAAGGTTCTCCCGGGTGCTCTGAAGCACAGATAGTACTTCTTCTCTTATTTATTTATTTACATATATCATCATCTTTTCTTTCAACTAAAACGACTTGGACCTGCACAAGCACTTATGGCTACCTGTCTAAAGCTGTGAATTGGAAGTGAAGGTTCGGAAGCAAAATATAAAAATTTAGTCTTCATGCCACAGTTGTGAAAATACTTCTCTGTTATTGGAAGACTTGCAAAATTGTACTCATAATTTGAAGTTGATCTCATTGTAACACAATTCTGTTAATTACCCTGGGAAAACTTTCGGATTAAGCTATAAGCCCATTCCACAAGCTTGCCACTGCCACGTTACGTAAATTTGGTAACAAACTGACAGCCACAGCTATCATTTGTTTCACAGTTCTTTTTGAACGTCTGGTTTTTCCTTGGCTGAATTCTTTCACTATTCTTTAATTGTCTTTCTCATACGTACATAACAAAACGAAGGTGCGAACGTTTAAAATATAAAAACATTGAAAGAAAGGAAAATATTTACAGGAAAGGAGTGCAAAGTTGCCTCTTAGCGCCAAAGCATGTTGTAGTTGTAACTGGAAGTACGTTTTTATCTGAGGAAAAAAGTGTAGAATTTTTCGTGCTATGTAACATCAGTGCTTTGTTCAGAGAAATTACATTTGTTAAATTAATCCTCGAAAAACTCATGAGTTGCGTTCCAATCATAGTCAATAGACCCGTGGGACATAGACTTTTCAAAGTATGAAATGAACTAGCTAGAGCATTATGCATTTTACACAGAGTAAGACAACACATTTTAAAGACGTTTTCATGTCAAACTTTATCAAAACTGTCTGTCTTTTGGAAGATTACAACACGGAGCTGAGCTGTTTCTTGAAACAGTCTTTATAAACAAACAAGACTGAAATTTGGGAAACTAAGAACGGCATTTTTTTTTTTTTTTTTTTTTTTTTTTCCCAGCCTTGTCGGAAAAATGATAAAAGAAATTGTTATGGAGATAAAAAGATTAATGTCGCCAGTTTATTCCTAGTTGAGCAAAATAAAAAAAAAAAAGCAGGAACAAAAAGCAAATAAGCAAACAGACAAGAAACCAAGTAATAATAAATATAGGAAAAAAGGAAAAGAGCAAAACATTATTTGTGATAAATATGATTGATGCTGTAAAAAACCATCTTTTGCAGGACCTTACACTATTGAATTCCAGGATCCAAACTTTGTCCACATAATTGATAATCTCCATCTCTGTTTTGTCAGTTTGTTGTGTACAATTTTCTCTATTCTCTTTACAACTCAACAGTCAATGAAATTTTTAATGAAAGTTTCTTTTGAACCAGTGAGCTTGTGATAAGGCTTTCAACTCAGTTATGTCTGCACTTGTCTTCTGAATGAAATGTATTCATTCACTATTCACCCCGCACGTGCATGAAAACGTGTATGCAATATGCATTATCTTCAATCATTTCAATATCAATGCAGTGTTATGTAATGTCCGAGTGACACATAATATTAACGCTAATTAGTTACTCACCACTCAATACTTTATTCTCGTTCAACTCTCTTGCAAGAGTTGCACAACCACCGTTGCCAAACTGTCACTGTCACGAACAAGTATAAAAAAAAATCTAACCGTAAATCTAACTGTACAATGTGACATAAAGAAAATTTGCAGATATTAAGCAAAGGTCTCAGAAGAGAACAAAAGTGTGTCATTGGACAAATCCAAGAGAGTACAACTCTAGGTAAATCATATTGTTTAATGGTTACTGTTTATTTTCTTGGCTTTTTTGTTCTTTTTTTCTTTGTTCTGTTTTTTTTCCTTTCTTTTCTTCTTTTAGAGGCGTAGAAAGCTCCAAATCAAATATAAGACGGTGCATGTGAGATTACTATTCCTTTCTCACAAAAAAAAATTATTTTTCGTGTTACTAGAAATAATTTCTCAACTAAACACTACGAATGATTTCCTTAGTACAGAAGTCCTCACTCGTTTAGCACGGAGCAGTTTACATATCTTCTTCAAAAAAGCATCTTTGATCAATTCCTGCAGTTTGAGTTGCTGTGCAGATTATATATTTTTGAATTCACAGATATTTGCTTCATGGAATTTTTGGCACAAATAAAAGGCAATATCAATTCAGATCGACAAACCTCAAGGGTTGCTGCCTCATCCATGTTTTTGAAAGGTGCATGTCAATACATGTTATCTCGTCTTTGATCAGGAAGCTATGCCAGTGCTTTTTCGAATATATTACGTTAGGGACTTTTTAGTGTCTCTGTACGGCTGAACTGGGGTATGAAAATAAACTGCAACTTATCCAGGTAGTCGATCAGCATCAGTTTTTTTTTCCTTCTCCGTCAACTACCTTCGGAAAACATAATAACTGTTGAAATAATTCTGTGACCTGAAAGCCTTGAGTGAGTTGAATAAAATAAGAGTCCAAAATCTTGTTCAGCAATCGTGTTATTTTAGTAATACCTTTCCACCTGTTGCTGGCTAACCACTTCGGCAACCACTACAAGCCCTTAGGTTTTGATGAATCGTCTTTGTCAGGTGACCAAAATAAACGTCATACAGGCTCAATGTCAAGTGCCGTGAGGTGAAAAAAAAAAGTTCATTCAAGCGCAATCATTGGCCGTGAGCAATGCAGATGACGAAACCATTCTTTTTTCACCGGAAAGTCTATTTGATGCGTTACCTCTTCCTGACTTTTAGCCGTAAAACTGGGTCGGTTTTCCCTCGGGTAAAAGACCAACAAACAGCTCAGAGTCAAATGATAACAGGATCAACAGGAGATTTATTTTGTGGTTGATTCTAACTGTGTATTCACATCATGAAATCAAACAACGAGGCCGACAGTGGCTTGTAACACGACTCCAATGCAAGGAATTGCAGACGATTCTTTCACTGACTCAGGATCGGTATGTTATTTGCAAAAATCATTCTTCGTCGTATATTGTACAGATATTACGTTATATATTGTAATGAATTATTGTTGATGTTTGGATCAGAATGGCAACAGTCGTTTTTTCGCAGTTTAAAGGCTTAAAAATGTTCATCCATATCTCGTCATTCACTGCACGCAATGCTTTAGTTTTAAAAGGTCACACTATACGCTAAAAGATTTGTAGGATTTTCACTTTGAAGCAGAAGCTCACTGACAAATACGAAATTTCCTTCAACCGGAATCCTATATTGGTCCCTTAATTATGACTATAAAAACTGATTTTTAATGTAGACTAAACGGCGCCCACAAACCATCAAAACTTGGCGTCACGCAGTTTTCTAACCTTTTCACAAAATGATTTCTTCCCATTTTGTAAAACCGCAATTGCCAATAGAAATTGAAGTTTTTTTGGAAACTATGCTACAAAACGAAAGCTTTCTTTATATTCCTGTAATATAAAAAGCAATATCATGGTGATACATTTTATACCAATACATCCAATACTTCAATCACTTCCCTTCAGTTTGCTTTGCATGTGTTGAATTCAGCTATGGTTTTTTTTTCACTCCTCATTTTGTTAAAATCTTTCGGAGTAAATGGAAAACTTTGGAATCAAATCTATCGTTTAAGTACCTATCTGGTTAAAATAACCCGTGTTTTAAAATCTTTCTTAATGTGATTTACAAATCATCTCCAGATTTTGCGCCCACGATGTAAATTTCAGAACTTTAATGTTCTACTTGTTAACGGTTGGGTAGTCACGTAACCCTTTCACAGTAAAACGGCTTGAAATCATTACTTAATTGTCTAAATATGTTAACAATATTAATCTTTTTCTAAGAAACCAAGTGAACCGGAGACAAGATGAAAGTATCCGTTTTCACCCTGATGATAATTATCATTCTGTCAACTGACTTTTGTCAATTACATCCGCTTCTGTTTTACGATAGGAGTGCGGCGACATACCCCGCTTCCGTTGTACATGATATACTGAATAACAAGGTGACATCACTCTTATTCTGTTTCAGGCACCAGCTCTTACAGTTATTGCAAGACGACGAAATTCGCAAGTGGCATATCCAGTGGGGTTGAGAAGAAAATCAAGAGCTACCAGCGCAGGTAAGAATAGAAGGTTCGGTTTTTCTTAGAAGATATTTCCTTCTGCAAGCCTGTGGCACACTGTTAAAAATACTAAAACAAGATAGAAGATCAGATAAAGTTGTTTTCATTCACAAATCTTGAACGGATCGTTGTCTCGTTTTGAGGTTAGAAAAGCGCTCTCTCTTAAGATACTTTTGGGAAAATGTCGGTTTGGATTCAGTCTTTGGTCTCTGGAGCGACTAGCCAACGTGACTTCTCCAGCAACTACAACAACGCAAGACTGTTACTATTAAATCGATCCTTTTTTTAAAGTTGCCTTCTGTAGCTTAATATTGATAAATCTCCCGCAGAAAATGGCAATGTAGGTAGAAATACAAACACGAACAATATACACGTACATAAAGGGAAAAGAACGTTTTCACGTCGATAGCAAATCAAAGGAATGTTAGAAATTATTGTCATGGTGGCCTAGTGTGTTATATTTAAATCACTAGAACACGATCAAAATTATGTCGTAAAATACTTCAACGTGCGCGTTATTTGATGGACCCATGGTGAGATGTTGTTAATGTTAACTTTACTACAAACAATTTTTTTTTTATTGGAGAATGTGAAACCTAAGAACCTCTTTCTTGCCGACACGGTGTTTAGGGAGGGTGGCGGCGTATGATTATTTATTAAAATCCAACCGCAGTAGACAGGGATTTTCGATGAGTATTTTGTGACCGCAAACGATTTTTCGCGGTTGGTATCACGAAAATCTGAGAAACGGCAATTTTTAGCGGAAAGAATTTGCGTGATCTCGTGTTTTCATTTCACGTGTCACCGTTGTCATTTTGTACTGTTCTAGATCAGTCATCATTGTTTCTTAGGATTTTCGTCAGTTCGCTACATTTAAGGTGTGTTAATTAACACATCTCTGCGTGGGCTAATATCGTCACTCTCAAGGTAACAAGATTAAGTTTTCTGTTTGATTTAAATCAAACTGCATTAGAAATAAACAGAATGAAGAAAAATGACAAAGAAAATCTTGGAAATGATATTCAATCGATTTGAGAATCCATAGGCGGGTGAGAAACAAAGGATCGTTTTCAGTTAAGTGACGATGGACACATATTTACTTGATTTGTAATATTTTGAAGTTGTGTATTAAAGAGTTTTACAACACTCGCCAATTCGTGTACAATGCGTCAATTTGAGCCGAATGATACTGAAGTAGCAGTCAAGTAGAATAATCTGTAGAGAATCACGCAACTTTTGGAACACACACGAAGACTTCGAACAACATTTGCAATTTTACTTCACTCTGGTTACCCTTGCATCTAAGCATGTATCAGGCTGATCTCGGTAAGCATGCGCACTAACAGCGTATATATAACCAAAGGTCAAGTAGAATTCCATGTTGCCTTTTTTCACAGATAATCAGCTCAGTATACAAGCAAAAGCCAAACATGAACTGTTAGCCAACCTTGTCCTTCCTGCGTGCGTCGACCAACCTCCAAGAACGAGAGAAAGAAGAAACACTTTTACCTTCCAGGCCCCCAGTATGCGAACCAAGAAAGACGGTATGTATGCCTCATAATTTCTGCTCCGTTTAATATGTGGCGCTGTCGAGGGAGAGGAGTCTGCGCGTTAGTCAAATAGCCAGTCTCTCTCAATTATTTGGGAACCTTTTAGAATCAAAATTGCGAGGAAAAGAAGGCAGATTTTGGACTTTTGTCAGCGGATTCCTCTCCTCAGCAGCAAACTTTATACGACGGCCAGACTTGAAGCTGACGTAGAGCTGTGATGCACGTGTGTAGTATTATGCTTTGACCAAGCGCTACGCTAATTTGTGCCTTTACTCTTACCTAAACGTTGAATTGACTCAGGCTAACACCATAGTATAGTAACGCTGAAAAAGAGCAGAATTTTTGCTGTCTCTGATTGATCTTTGGAGAGATGCACAACTGCTCATGTAGGAAACAGAGGCTTGCCGAATAAGTACAAAGAAACTCGCTTTCACGTGAACACAGACTTGAAATTAATTAGCTTTTACAGTTTATTAGCATACATCGTAAAATGCGACCACACGCAACTAGAAGATGAATAAGAAAAAAAACCGTGACGAACTAACATTGTTCCGTAAATTAAATGATTAAAATAATCGTTCTCTGGAGGGAAGGTGTGCACAAAGTCCACCTTCAATTTTTTTTATTTTAGTTTACTTATATTGTGTTAGTCTACGTCCACATCCGTTCACCTAAATGCCTGTCATTAGTTTCCTTCATTATAATTTTTGATCACATTTGGTTGCAACATCTGTTGTAAGAACAAATGATTTATTTAAAATGCATATTTCCTACCCTACAATTACGAGGAAGTGTTCAAACAATCACCTCGATTAAGACTGGTCAGCTTTATATTGCATGTACATCGCAAATGTCGTCAGAAGAAACTTATGAAAAATCTTGTGGAAACGTTGAAAATCCATCAGATTTTAACGGTTGTAAAGTAACACGGAGTGGTGGTTTAGGAAAGCTCGTTAGTTTTTCTTCCCACAAAGATTTTGTTCCATACTTAATCATAGGCCGGAAACGTATTTTATCACCCATATAAACTAATTATTCAACTTGATGATTTCACGAGCCACTTTTTTGTTCTGTGTTTTCGCTCTGTTTTTCGTTTGTCTGTGTTTTCTTCTTCCTTCTTTGCTATCATTACTACTGTTATCATTATTATTATTATTATTATTATTGTGTTCCGTTTTAATTCATTATATTTTATAAGTGTTAATGTATTCTCCGCTAGCGTCGCGACGATTAATCATCGATTGGAGACGTGATAAAGTTGTTTACTTGTCTGCTTCAAATACCATAAAGCCAACTTGTCTGAGTTTACTTTTTCAATACAGAAAAGAGATATCAAGTCGCTAAGGAGATCTTAGAGACAGAGAAGAAGTATCTCTCCTGCTTAAGGACTCTTAAAGAGGTAAGATTTGCACTTCATGGTTGTAGGTCACAGTGAATGAATGAGTCTTCCGAACTCGTTAATGAAGACTTTGTCTCTAAATATCGTTTATGTTTACCTCTTAAAAAGCAAAAAAAAACTTTTTTACACTTACCCTTGAAACATTGTGAAATAAGTGACGTTCATCTCTTGAATTGAATTATTTTCTGAGCTGTTTTCCATTCCATTAGTTTTCCAGAATGAGCGTCAAGAATTCTGGAATTACGATATTTTACAGTGCACTCTTAAAAAGTTTTCTTATCATACCAATTTTATATTTTACTTCTAGGTTTTTGAGGAACCAATGAGGGAAAGCAATTTAATGTCGTCCAAAGAAATTGAGTAAGTACAGTTACAAGGGGACATTCTAATATATCATTAGTAATGATCAATAAAACTGTAATAATGTTAAGTATGCTTTACTACTTGAATAAACAATATATAGTCGTCATCACCATTGCCGTTATTATTGTTTTTGTTGGCGCTTCAAGTCATTCTGTAAGCCTCCTCCATCACTTTTTAACGAATAATTCTTAAAGCACGATCGTTCATTTCTAAAATGCAAAATTGGCTATTTTTTGCGAGTCTTGAGGGTCGAAGCGGCCAAAATGAAGGAAGAAATATTCTCTTGGAGTGCTCTAAAAACTACGCGCCTCGCAGGCTATATATTGTTCCCAGCTCGGTGCCAAGTCGATAAAAGTGTAATTCCTGTAAGACCTGCAACATTTTGATTATTATATGATGTGCTTTACTTACTTGTACTTGAAAACATACTTTTAGTGTGCTGTTTCCTGGAGAACTGGTGCATATCTTGACAAGTCACACCCATTTTATGAAAGATTTAGAAGAACGACTTCAAAACTGGAAATTACACGGCATTGTTGGAGATATTTTTACCAAATTAAGCAGCTCTTATCATGTAAGTTTCACTTCTTAAGCTTTGAAAGAACAGCCTAAGTTAATCAGTCTTAAGTATGGCCTCAAAAAGTCGTACTTGCACTCAGACACAATAACTTCCTGAGTAGGTTTTTTTTCACTTTGGTCCGAAGCTGTAAGAGCTCTTTGAACCTCTGTTTGTTTGTTTTCTTTGTCACTTGGCTTAATACCAAACAATGTTCCATTATTCCACAGATCGATGTCTTACGAATCTATTCCAATTACGTCAACAACTTTCCTAGGGCAATAGGCGTGATAAACAAAAGTTCAAGGGGATCACATAAATTTAGGAAATTCTTACAGGTAAATTTATAGCACGATTTCTATCCAGTTTGGTTACTCGTACCAGTCTT